AGAAAGGCAGCAAGTGAAATTAATTTAACATTTGCGGTAGAAGAAATGTGGCAGTTTTCTTGCCTCCTCATCTGTTTATGTGTGGTCTTGTGTTTTTTAGGTAACCCTCACTGCAGAAACTGATTGTCGCTATGTGTCTTGGAGAAGAAAGAAATTGTATCTGCTCTTTGCTCAGCATCGTTATATCTCCCGCCTGTTTTCAGTGTTAATTGGCAGTGACATTGCAGATAAACTCTATGCCTTGAATGACAGGGTTTATATAGGAAAAAGATATCACTATGATATTCGGCTACCCAACTTCTATCAAATGTCAAGTCCAGAAATACGCAGATCACCCCTGACACAACATTTTCGCAATTCCAGACCATACTGTGAAATTTAAGTATAAAAAAAGACTCTCTCTTCACCATTCCCCAAATGAAATAGCAAAATACAAAAAAATTAGCTCCCTAATATTTTTATAAATCGAATTCAAAGCGAGATGCCATTGCCAACTGTTTTATTCCTTTCAACAACTGCATTGTGAATAAATTTTACAAATTTTTCTTGTATTTCTTATTGTTATAATTGGGGAGGGTGTGGATAACTATGGGCAGTTTGCCCTTTTCTGCCTCAGAACTGGGAGAATGAAATTCCACATTCTCAATTCTTTTCTCACATTTACTCAAATGCATTGTTTTGCCCTATAGACTCACGCGTTGCTTCTCAACAAGCAGCCAGCAAGTATTCCCAGCCTGAGGGTGGGTTGCTACTGTCCACATAGGCATTTCCAGAATTCACCTTTTTTTTGTTTGTTTGTTTTTGCTACAGCCTCCAATGAAAAGCAGATTTATTACTGTGGTGGGCAGCAATTATTTATTTTAAATGTGCAGTTATTTGATGTGACTAAAAAGGAGAATAAATGCAAGAGATAGTATGTGAATCTTGAAGCCTATGTTATTGCTACAAATAAAATAACATTTAAAAAGAAGCATTTTGTGGAAAACAAAGCTGCCTAATCATTACTAAGTACTCCTGAAAAAGAGTACCCCTGAACCAACAGTAAAAATGTTGCACGGTGTTTCAATTTCAGATGATGAGCGGAAAGAGCTTTCAGTGGTGTGACTGGACAGTGAGGGTTCACAGGGAATGCTAAACCCACCACACAAACACAAGGGTCTGCCTCACAGCCAGTGCTTCAGCTTTGTGAAGAAGAGCTTATGAAAGAACCCTAGTTGCAGATCTGATCCCTGCCTTTGGAAAACTGGTTTTCTGAAGATCACATGCAGGCTATGTTCTTTGAAACAGAGATATATAATCCAACATGTAACAAGTGTATACGGAGTAACTTCTGTGGCTCTAGGTGCTGACCTGGGCATGGGGATGGAGATCCCACCCCTGACAAAGCTTACATTCTGGGGGCATGGGAGACATAATAAAGTAAGTCAGAAAAACCTATATTTAAAAGGCAATAGTGCTAAGGGGAGTGATAAATTAGAGAAGGTAGATAAGAAGGGGCATTGCAATTTTAAGAGTGGTCAAGGAAAGCCTCCAGAAGGAATGTTTGAATGAAGACCTCAAAGAGGCGATGGAAGAATCCACAAAAATATCTGGGGGAAGAGCAATTTGGGCAAAGGGGACAGCAACTGAGCAGGCCCTTGGGCATGAGTATGACTGGTCTGCTCCACGAGCAGCTGGAAGGCTAACATGGCTGGCACAGAATGAACAGAAAGTAACTGTGGGCAGACGGGGTAAGGCCTAAATAAGTCATGATAAGGACTTTGACTTTTATTCTAAGAGTGGCCAGAAGCCATTGTAGGGTTTGAAGTAGAAGAGTGATATGATCTGCCCCATGTTTTAATAGGATCAGTCTGGCTAGCCTGCTGAGCATAGACTAGAGGGAGGAGAGAAAAGAGTGGACTTGGAAAGCAGAACGAGGATTAAGAGTGAGATGCCCACTGGACACTGAAGTGGAGTAGATAGTTGGATATATGAGCCTGGAGTTCAAAAGAAAAGTCTGGGCTGAAGTGACAGCTTTGAGAGTATTTAGCATATACGTGGTAGTTAAAGCCATGAGTGTCCCTGAGATGGCCAAAAGAGTGAGTGTAGATTCTGAAGAAAAATGGTTGAGGGCCTGCCTTGTGGCACTCCATTGTTAAGAGGACGAGGAGATAGGGAAGAGTCAGCAAAGCATCTGACGAGGAGCAGCCAGTGAGGTAGGAAGGAAATCAGGAGATCCTGGGATCCTGTAAGCCAAGCAAAGAGAATTTCTGGTAGAAGGGCATGATGAACTATCTCAGATGTGGCTGAGAGGCCTTAGAATAAACCATCGAGTTAAGCAACATGGAAGTCATTGGGGAACTCAACAAGAGCAGTTTTGGTGGAATGAGCAGGAACAAAAATGACTAAAGCAGTGAAGGAGAATGAGAGGCAAGAAGTTGGAACAGTAAGGGTAGGTAAGTTTTTCAAGGAGTTCTGATGTGAACAGAAATAGAAACGGACAGTGGCCTGGGCAGAAAGTGGGGCCAAGAGAGGGGGTTGTTATTAAGACAAGATGGCACAGTTGCATGTAGACGAAAACGATCCAGAAGTGAAGCATGAACTGCGGGAGCGATGACCTTGAGCAGGTGATGGTATTCAGTGGCCTTAAATAGAAATGTCGACAATTCTTCATTAATAAAAAGAGAAGAGTATCTGGGACAGTAGTTGTTGGCTAGTGAGAGATGTGGTGAGAGGTTGTGAAAGTTCTCTAGTGATTTATTTTCTTAGTGACCTAGGAAGCAAAGTCGGCAAGGAGAAGGGGAGAGGAAGTATGGGGGTTATATAAAGGACATTGTTTTTTCCTGTATGTTAGCATCTACCATAAGTGGGACAATGTGACAAGGTCTAAATCATTAGTCTGGATGAACTACTGAGCTATTCAAGTTCAGCATGAACTCAAGGAATCACTGGAGTGGTTTCTTCTATTTCTTGGCCACACACAAAGGCCTTCAGGAAGCACCCAATGGCTTGTCAGTGGGATTCACAATGGCTCTGGGAGAAATTCATTTCTTTGAATCTTTAAGACTTTGAGATATGTATAAAGTATTAAAATGCAGAGCATCCCAGGTAGAAGTCACACCTTAGGTTAGTACTACTAGGTAATAATTTTACAGGGATTATCGGATAGCTTTCTAACATTAAGGTCACAAGAAAACAAAGCTACATAGAAATGGGATGTAGAGTTTTGGCTCAAATCATGTGGCAGAGGATACAAGATTTTATGTGTAAGTTTTCCAGAAATCTATTTTTACTAAGAGGAGAAAGGGGTACAAACATAATGGGATAAAGGGATACTGAAAGAAGAGGTAAAGGGATGCTTTGAGACCTCACAGTCTTCACTTCTGTAGAGGATTGGCACCGTTCCTTGGTGTATCTAACATCTAGGTTTGCACCCAGGTTTTCTCACTTTATTTAAAAAAATTAAAAACCTACAGTGACCTCTATGTAGCTATACTGTATGTCTAGTTTGAAATATCTAGCAAACCAATTACTATCTCAAAATAAACCAGATGGAAAGCAGAAATGACACATATCCTAGAAAAATATCCCTGTATCATAGTGCCCCTAAAATTTAATTTTTAATGAAAATTGGGCTCCTTTTAGTCTTGGCCTAATAATTTCTACCGATAAATTCCTTTGGTTCTCTTAACATTGGTAAGAGGACACTAAGATGAGGAACAGCTTGTGTTCTTGTGCCAAAATGCTTTATGGCTTTGTATACAAGATCTGGGTATTCAAAAATAAATGGAGCTCTGCGTTCAAGACTCAAGAATTTCAAGATGGAGATAGCAGAGCATTAAGCCAAGTGTGGGTCTCTTGTAAGTCTGAAGCCCTTTGTGACTACACAGGTTGCATGCCCAGGAAGCTGGCCCTGGCTGAGTTGTTCCTATGACTTTAAGAAATTGGCCAAAACCTAAAATGCAATAAAATAAATAAATGGAAAAAAAAATAGGGAGGTACCCTGCTCCAAAAAAAAAAAAAAGAAAGAAAGAAATTGGGATGACTGCCTTGTGATTTTCTGTCCTAATTTTTGGGGTCAGGAGGGACTCTGAGAAGTAGTGAGTCTGGGGAAAGGGAGTGGCTTTGGCACAAAATGAGGCCATGAAAACCCCACAGCCCAGTCACCAAGGCAAGTTCCTGGAGGCTGCATGCTTCTCTTACATGGCCTTTCCTTTACCTTCATATATAGAGGCTTCCCATCCCCATGGGGCTATTCCTCTGAACTTGCTTTGACCCCTGTGCAAATATAAGAAGGGACCAGTGTGATTTGCCTTGGACTCTGCAGTCCCTAGGAACTCATGAGCTTGCGATTAGTCTACTGTAAAGAATAGCAGGATGCTCTCTGAGCACTTATGGGTTGAAGAATTTTTCTCTCCTCTTCAACAGAGGAGCAGAAGGAAATTCATTTGCTCTCTACTAATCTGGATAAGCTCCGGATGCCACACTGTTACACTGCTCAGACCTTAAAGGGCAGAATTGATTTAACAGGTCAGTCACAAAGTGAAATTTCCTAAGCGGACAAGTGCCATAAGAAAAACAAACTAGGCAGACAGTACATGTTATTGTAAAAGCAATACGTTTACAGTTTTATGTATGTGAGATGCTTGGTTGGACAAAAGGCATAAATATACGTGCAGCATTGGATTGCACTTTCTAATCGGGTTCCATGTTCCTCCCTGTATTATACATTGTTAGAGAACTTAAACTTCAGAAATGATGTGTCAAACTAATATTTACTTTTAGTAAAAGACAGTTTTTATACAAGTTAAAGAGATCAATGGGCCCAATTAATTCCACAGTTTTTCTTCATTCTACTAAAATTTAACACATACATATCAATCAAAAATACAAATAAGCATTAGTATCATATAGACCTATTATAATAAAATGTAGGCTCAATCTGATAGAACTGTGTATTGTTTCAAGACTGGAAATCTTACAGTTGTGAAAAGATGGAGCAAGACTGAAACACTGGTTACTTTAACTCTTAGTCATCTCATCATAAGTATTACCATGACTGTAATGCTGAATTGTACGTACGCATGTAATATCAGCATGATTTGAACATAACTTCAAGTTTTATTATTACGCTAAATTTGACTAGTTTTAAAACCTGCTATTAAAGATTGGTGGGAACTTTAAAACATTTTTTTCTCCCTAAGAACTGATAATTTGAGTAAGATTCTAAAATATTTGTTTTTATATAATTTCATAGAATTTTTAGCTCCACTTGATATAATATCAAGTGTCCCAGGCCATCAGAATTGAGATTACTACTCTTATTAAATGTAAATTTATCTCACAAAATTATACAATTACAAAACAATGTTTTACATTTATTTAACACTTTATAGTTTAAAAAGCACATGTCTACATGTGATTTCATTTGCTTGTTCCTTGGAAGAATCCTATTTTATGGATAAAAATCAGAGAGACTGAATCACAGTTAGTAAACAATGGTGACACTCAGCTTAAGCCTGATTCTTCCAAATTAGTGTCCTTGCATTTTTCATGCTGCATTGACCATGTTCTTGATTGTGTTCCTGACTTGGAGAGTACTAAAATGTTCCCAATCTGAGTGAAGGAAAATTCAATGTCAAAATGCTAGTTACACATCTTCCGAATCTGTTAGTGACAGCAAGAGGAAAAATTATTCAAACATGAACCTTTCTTCTGTTGAATCATCAGCAGTAGCTTGAGCTCAAATGTGGTTTACAAGTAAAATGTGTAATTAAGTGTAACTTCATTTTAAATGGCTATAAATTTACATAATGAAAGAATAAGGCCAAGTTTTTTTGATGCAATTTAAATCAGTTTTTAAGTTTTGGATCTGTCCAATTTCATTCAGATATTTTCACAGCTCAACTGAGGTCTCTCTAGGTATTTTAAGAGAAGCCTTCATCATCTCAGCCCATCGTGTTTTATGTGCCATCCATCCTTCTTATAAGAAAATTAATTCAGTGCCCCTTGTAGTGCCACTTCTCTCTTTCTTCTCTCAGGTAGAATAAAACTTTATGTATAATGAAACTTTGTAAGCTGATTTTTTTCCAAACAGTAGCAGGTAAGGGTTCTAATATATGGAAGATATTTTTGGTGTAATACAAATGGGGTTTCTGAAGAACAGGATATTACTGCAGAATATAAGTTGGTTCCTTTGAGATAAAAGTTTAGCCAATGCACAAGCACAATATCCATTTTATGAGAAAAGGAATTCTCCTTTGCAACTCTTCCACTATCTTGTTCACTGGGAACAATGCCTGGAACATGGTAGCTACTTTGTAAATATTCATTGCATAGAAGGAAATTAATTACATCTTTATTTTTTAGACAGTTTCCTAATTGCATCTTTATTTTTGAGACATAGTCTCACTCTGTTCCCCAGGCTAGAGTACAGTGGCGACATCTTGGCTCATTACAACCTCTGCCTCCTAGGCTCAAGCAATCTTCCCATCTCAGCTTCCCCAGGTTCTGGGACTATAGGCGTGGGGTGCCATGCCCAGCCAATTGCATCTATTTTTGTATTTGAATTTTAACATTGAATCCCCTTCTCAATTTGATTTCAATTATGCAGTGCTGCTAGTCATTTATCATGAAATAAAATGTAAGATCTATAATAACAGCATTTTTTCTGCATGACATAGAATTATTATTTCTTTAAATGACTTTCGAAGCTACATTTTTCTTGCTGATACTGTTGAAGTGAGTCTGAACAGCACTTATTCAGAATGTATTAGTCTTTAGGTTCCAAGATCATTTGTTGGATTGAAAATCTGCAAAGTGATTTTTGCTTAGTGATTCTTTGTGTTGGGAATGTTAAAAGGTAAATTTAGGCACAACAAAATATTGAAGAATTTATTTGGGCAGATAGCAATTCATGAATCAGGCAGCACCAGACCACAAGAGGTTCAGAGCTTCACTGTAGTGGGACAGGCAAGAGAGAAACTTATAAGGTGCAGAAGCATGATGAAGAAAATATATTTCAGTGGCTAATGTGGAAAGTCCCTAGTCAGAGGTTGGTTGGTAATTTCTGATTGGTTAAGCTTCAGTTTTGTTTTACTGTTTACAGTGGGCTTTGGTTTGCTTACATAGGTTCCCAAGGCACTGAAGCCATCTCAGCCTAACTGCCTCCCAATTAATTTTCTTTCTTAACAGAAACGTGTAATGGACTATCAGGTCTCTCGTAAGTGCAGTCAGCCCACTGTATGTGAGAGCTCCACAGCCACAGATTCAACCAAGCTTCCATCAAAAATAAAACGTAAGACCTATAATAATAGCACTTTTTTCTGCATGATGTAGAACTACTATTTCCTGGAAATAATAATTTGGAAAAAAATTTAAAATAACAATACAATGATAAAAATAATACAAATAAAAACAATATATTATAACCATTTATACAGAATTTCTATTGTATTAGGTATTATAAGTAATCTAGAGATGGTTTAAAGTATATGGGAGGATGATTGCATGCTATATGCAAACACTAGGCCATTTTATATCAAGGACTTGAGCATCTTCGGATTTTGGTATATGAGAGGGGTCCTAGAACCAATCCCCCACACTACCCAAGGATAAGTATAATTCCATTTTAAACGATAAATTTAATAATATGGCTCTCACACCCTCTTCCCAGGGATGGCAGAAAAAAAACATTTGATCCTGCCACTTAAGAGAAGTTTCTACAACCCACAGAATGGAAGAAAATAATTGCAGGCCGGGCGCAGTGGCTCACGCCTGTAATCCCAGCACTTTGGGAGGCCGAGGCAGGTGGATCACGAGGTCAAGAGATCAAGACCATCCTGGTCAACATGGTGAAACCCCGTCTCTACTAAAAATACAAAAAATTAGCTGGGTATGGTGGCACGTGCCTGTAATCCCAGCTACTCAGGAGGCTGAGGCAGGAGAATTGCCTGAACCCAGGAGGCAGAGGTTGCAGTGAGCCAAGATCGCGCCATTGCACTCCAGCAAAACTCTGTCTCAAGAAAAAAAAAAGAAAAAAGAAAATAATTGCAAACTATTCATCTGATGAGGGATTAATAACCAGAATAAAGATCTCAAGCAACTCAGTAGGAAAAAAACAATCCAATTAAAAAATATCTGAATAGACATTTCTCAAAAGAAGACATACAAATGGCAGGTACATGAAAAAATATTCAACATCACTAATCATCAGAAAAAAGGAGATCAAAACTACAATGAGATACCATCTCACCCCAGTTATAAAGGCTTTTACAAAAAAGGCAGGGAATAACAGATGCTGGTGAGGATGTGGAGAAAGGGGAATGTTCGTTCACACACTGTTGGTGGGAATGTAAATTAGTACAGTCACTATGGAGGACAGTATGGTAGTTCTGCAAAAAAAATAAAAATAGAAGTACCATATGATCCAGCAATCCCACTGCTGGGTATACATCCAGAAGAAAGGAAATCAGTATATTGAAGGGAACCTGCTGTTCCATGTTTATTGCAGGACTATTCACAATAGTGAAGACATGGAATCAGTACAAGTGCCCATCAGTAGATGAATGGATAAACAAAATGTGGTATATATACACAATTTTCAGCCACAGAAAATAATGAAATATTGTCATTTGCAATGACATGGAGGGAACTGGAGGATGATATTTTTGGTGAAATAAGCCAGGTAAAGAAAGGCAAATACTGCATGTTCTCACTCATTTGTGGGGGCTGAAAAAAAAACAAATAATGGAAAAAGAGAGTAGAATGATGGTTACTACAAACTGGGAAGGGTGGGGAGGATCCAAGACAGCCAAATAGGAACAGCTCGGGAGTGCAGTCCCAGCAAGAACTACACAGAGGGTGAGTGCGCACCACATTTCCAAACAAATTTTCACTGCCCACAGACCAGGAGATTCCCGGGCAGAAAAGCACCACAAGTTTTTAGCATGGCGGTTTCAGCTTGTGCTGGGTTGGCACACAGAAACTCACACAAACCTTGGAGGCCATTTCAACTGGCGCCTGGAATGCCTGGGAGACAGGGCCGCCCATTCAACTGAAAGAGAGGGGGCAGACACGGGGAGCCAGGCAATCTGGCTCAGTGGGTACCCCCCCACGAAAAAAGCAATCTGAAATGCTCTGGATTGAGAGTTTCACAGCAAGTGCAGCTGGACCCAAGACGGTCCAGTTCAGCTGGGGGAAGGGCAACTACCACTACCAAGGCAGTCCCCCACTACCGAGGCAATTCACACAGCTGATGGGCAGAGCTTGCGGCAGCTCAGCAAAACCTCTGCTGGCAGACTGTCACTAGACTACTCCGTGCAGGGCAGGGCATCTATGAAAAAAGGCAGCAGCACGACAGGAACTTATAAATAAGTTCCTAGGACAGAGAACCTGGGAAAAGAGGCAGTTATGAGTTCTGCTGCAGCAGACTTAGAAGTACCTACCCAGCAGCTCTGCATGGAAGAATGGAGCTCCCAGCACAGCACTTGGGCTCCTACAAGGGACAGACGGTCTCCTCAAGCAGCTCCCTGACCCCTGTATACCCAAAGAGATACCTCATAAAGGAGAGCTCAGGCTGACATCTAGCAGATACCCTTCTGTGACGAAGATAACATGAGAAGAAACTGGCAGCAACTCTTACTGTTCTGCAGCTCCCACAGGTGATGCCCAGGCAAGCAGGGTCTGGAGTGGACCTCCAGTAATCCTGCAGCAGAGGGGCCCGACTGTTAGAAGGAAAATTAAGAAACAGAAAGAAATAACTTCATCATCAAAAAGGATGTCCACTCAGAGACCCCATCCGAAAGTCACCAACCACAAAGACTACAGGTAGATAAATCCAGAAAGATGGGAAGAAACCAGCAGAAAAAGGATGCAAACACCAAAAACCAGAACACCTCTCCTTCTTCAAAAGATCACAACTCCTCACCAGCTAAGGATCAAAGATGGATGGAGAATGAATCTGATGAACTGACAGAAATAGGCTTCAGAAGGTGGGTAATAACAAACTTCTCAGAGATAAAAGAA